GTCAGCTGAGAGCCTTATGGGGGTTCCTTTGTAGGTAACCTGTTGCTTATATCTTGCTGCCTTTAAGATTCTCTCTTTGTCTTTAATTTTTGGCATTTTAATTACTATGTGTCTTGGTGTGGGCCTGTTTGGACTCTCACTTGGGGCTCTCTGTGCTTCTCAAACTTGAACACCTTCTTTCTTCATCAAATTAGGGAAGTTTTCTGTCACTATTTCTTCAAATATATTCTCTAACCATTGCTCATTTTCTTCTTCTTCAGGGACTTCTATGATGCGAGTATTATTACATTTCCAGTTGTCTCACAGTTCTCTTAAGCAGTCTTCTTGTTTTTTAATTGTTTTTTCCTTTTGGTTTTCTGATTGGTTGATTTTTTTCTACCTGTCTTCTAATTCACTGATCTGGTCCTCAGCTTCCTGTAGTCTTCTGTTTAGTCCTTCCAATGTGTTCTTTATTTTTGCTATGTCATACTTCATTTATTCTTGGTGGTTTTTCATTTCTAGTTGGTTGATTTTCAATGTTTCTATGTCTTTACTTATGGTGTTGATGTCCTTACTTATGCTGTTGAGCTTCCTCAAGATCATGACTCTGAATTCTACCTCTGATATCTTGCTTAACTGCATTTCATTTATCTCATCTTCAGTAGAGGTCTCTTGTTTTTTCATTTGGGATTTGTTTCTTTGTTTCACCATTTTGGCTCTCTCAGTGGGTTTTGTAACCTGCCAAATTTTCCCTGTGGGTGTTGGTGTTCTGTTGTTTGTGGCTCCCACTACTGGGTTTGGATGAGCATGGGAGGACCTGCATTAAACATCACTGTCAAATCTTACTTTCCTGGGTAGATTTGCAAGCCCAGAAATGGTTCAGTTATCCTCTAGTTTTTTGCCTGGAGGCTATTTGTTGTAGTTAATTGAAGAGGCTTGGGTTCTCAGTTGAATGAAAAACTCCCTTAGTGTTTAGCATAAGAGGATTTCCCAAGGGTGGGGCAGAATGCTGTTTGTTAATGAGCCTCAATTTGCATTTCCGTGGCCCACCTGGGTGGTGTAGAATCTCTGAGGGAGGTGCTTCCACCTCTCCCCAAAGTCCTGGGAAGGAGTAAGATGGCCACCATCCTGAGTCGCCACAACTCAGCAAAAGCTCTGAGCACCCTCCAAATCCTGAGTGTCCCCACACAGTTCCAGTCCAGTCCACCCTTCCTCTGCTGGAGCCCAAGATGAGTGGCTGTGGCTATTTTAGCCTCTGTCCTGGCCCTCTGCGCTGTGGAGCAGGCTTGGGATTACCCCGAGGGTGCCACTCACAACTAAGACTGCTGCTGTCCTTGGGCTCCCAAGCCCCCTCTTGGGCCTCCGGAATCCTACCAGAATTGATTCAGTGTCCATGGTTATAGGTTCTCTGCAAGCTGCTTTTCTGTTGCCTTTCCCTGATAATTTGTGTTTATTTTAGTTGGAATTTCAGTTTGGAATCGGTCTGGGAGATGGTTTGTGTAGCTTCCATTCACTCTGACGCCATTTTGGAATCTCATCTCACTGACCTTTTTGAAATGTAAGTCCCTCTCATTCTCCTTAAAAACTTTCAGGGATTTCTCATTGCTCTTAGGTTAAAGGCCCTAGATCTTTAAAGTGACTATATTGATCCTGTATACCTGTCCAGAATCATTTAGTACTATTATAATTCTCTCTCCGTTTCAGCAGAAGACCTTCTTTCAGAGTCTCAACACACCATCTTCCTCCTGTCTCAAAATCATTGCACTTACATGTAGTACTTTCCCCTGTGCCCTCTGCCTATTTAATTTTAACTCCTTCATATGCTTCCACTCAGAACTCAAATATCAGGAGACACTTTCTCAACCTCTAAGATAAGAGAACACACTCCTGCAATAGTCTGTCCTAACATTTTGTGCATTTTCTTAACAGCACTTAAGCGTTTGTAATTCTATATTTATTAATTTAACTTTTATTATTAAACGTTATTTTAATTATTATTATTATTACTTTAAACAATGAGCTCTGTGTTGTTAGGGAATAGTATTGTTTGGCCACCATTATGTACCTAGTGCCTAGCACCATGTCTAGCAAATAAACTATTCTAATAACTGAATGAATGACTAGCAGTTATTTTAAAGAGACATACTCACAGATTCTCTGTCAAACCAAACTGCCGAGGTGATTGCCTTGGGGCTCCTCAGAGTGTGATGTGTGTCCAGATTCCCAGAATACTTGTTAAAATGCAGATTCTGATTCAGTAAACCTGGGGTGAGGTCTATGATTCTGCATTTCCAACTGGTATCTAATTAGTCCTAGAACTTGGTTTCCCACTAGAATCACTATAGGAGCTTTAAAATAATCTCAGTTCTGTGGTCCCACCCTGACTGATTCTGATTTAATTGGTGTGTCCTTGGTCTGGGCTTTGGCGATTTGTAAAAGCTCCCAGTTTATTGTAATAACTATCACTCTTGGAGATCCACTGATTCCAGGCAAAGCTCACCCTCAACATTAGATGAAGGGATATTTTTTGTTATCTTTTGTGTTCTACTGCATCCAACATGACTATCTGATAAGGGTGCACCTTATTACTATTTTTTAAATGCATCACTATTAGAGATGCATAGAAAAGTGGTACCTATTGTGTAATGTGTGATTAGAGAGAATCCTATGTGAGTTAGTTAATGTCGCACCAGAGAGGTTCAATCTTAAACTTCCCCCCTTCTATACGTGGGGCAAATGTATTTCATATCAAATATTTTATAAAGTACAGGTAGCTATTGAAAAAAATGGAACATTAACCAAATGTAGTTAAATGCAGTCTTTGCAGCCAGAAGAACAATGGATAATTACTCAACTATGAACAGGAAAAGGAGACGTTGGGTGCTCTTCTAAAAGTTGCAACATTTGCCCTGGCCAATTTGGCTCAGCGATTGAAGCATCGGCCTGTGGACCAGAGAGTCCCGGGTTTGGTTCCCGCTAGGGGCATGTACCAAATAAATAAATAAATAAATAAATAAATAAATAAATAAATAAAAGTTGCAACATTTACAGCGAGGTTCCGATTCCAGGCTTGCCCGCAATCATGAACAGGAAGAGTAGCTATCGGCTCTTGGGCACTTGGTTGCTTTCTTTGACGATCAATGCTTCTTAATCTAAATCATGGCCACAATCCCCTTTTCTTCTAATTTATTACCTTGATTTTCTCCATGGACTTATTTTTATTTGTGATTTTAATCTTAAAATTGTCATAATGTGGAGTGCAATAGTTTTGTACTTAGCACAGTGCTATGTTTCAAGCCCCATACTGGTTTTCATATTCTTGCTTACTTTATCTTCTCAGAAAACCTGTTAGGTAGCAGTTGCTATTACCATATTGTACAGATAAAAACAAACAAACAAACAAACAAACCCTAAAGCTTCTTAGTTCATTAGCTTCTAAAAGACACACAGATGGCCAGTGGCAGAGTCCAGGCATATCAAATGCTGTGTCTTCCTCAGTGTTAGCAGTCTGCAGGCCAAATTCAGCCTTCAGATATATGGGTCTGCATGGTCTTAATTTTGAATGAGGTGCCAAAATTGAGAAAGCGGAACATTTCCTATAAAAATCTCACTTCAAGCTTATGTTGAAAATAATCGTGTCTGATAACACTGAGTTACATGCTGGCGAGCCTGAAGCCGAAAGACGTTTTTCTCTTTCATATGACACCTCCCTGTCTCTCACTAATGTCTCCTTCAGTGTTGACCTGTCAGAGAAGTCACGACACCTGCTTGGCCCCTCCAGGCCTCTGGGTTTTCAATTTGGCCACCAAACTCTACTGAAGGAAGAAATGATTCTTATATCTTTAATACATTTTATCATCAGGAAAGAACGGTGTTCTCTCTTTCAGTGGGTGGAGAGCATTGTATTGCCATCTTCACGACTTTGGACCTTTTTAGGATTATCTGTACCTATGCATTCGGCAGAAGGTTCTGATTTCTTTGAACACAAAGTGGTGGAGCTAAGTATCCGACCTTCTGATTCTGTACTGACCTGGCTGGAGCGGTTTCCTGTCACAGTTCTGACGTCACATGGGTTTACACGTGAACACCTGTAGCCCCGGGAACACGCAGGTGTCCCTTGTCTCGTGGCCTGGCTATTCCGTTCAGCCGCCTGCAAGCAGGACTGTGAGGAGGAGGAAGTGGGTCTTTCCTGAAGTCGGGACGGACCTGGCAGGGTCTGCGCAGTGCTGGGCAGGGTTTCCCAGGAATGCCGTCACTGATTTCTGATGCAGCAGGAAATGTAGGAGAAAGGATTCTCAAACAGTCTCCTTTGTGTTGAGAGGTGCTTGCCTCTGTGGCAGTGACTGTCCCTCGGTTTCCTTTCATGCGCGGCTCTGACCCACTGCGCACGTTGCTGCTGGTCTCTGCGCTCTGCCGGGGTCACTCTCGCTTCGTTCCTGGCGGCAGAGCCTCGCGCTGGCTGGAGCCCTGCCCCGCAGCAGCTCGCGCACCTGTGCCGTGCTCCCTAACCCCAGAGCAAGGCTGGCACATGGGTCTTGTTACTCCCGGGAAACTGTGGCTCAAAGGCTATGCCATTTGGCAACTTGATAAGTAAAAGAATTTTCGGGTGGTTAAATGCTAACCTTGACTATGTTGTTCCACATTTTACTTTGGGTTTAAGAGGCACATAGAGTGATTGAACAATGTCCACAGAACACGAGAAAAGGAATTCCACCATTCCTTATTTTGCTGTATGGCATGCCAAGTGAGACATTATCCGTTTTAAGATATGCCATTATTTGATGTGCTACTGTAAACAGAATAAATGCTGTCAATTAAATTATGTCATTGACATCTGTTGATTGCTGTCCCTGTCTCAGTCACAGATGTTCTCACTGAAAAAGCCACCCCCGAGAATCGACAAATAGAGCACTTATTCACGCCCTTAATGTATAAGACACTTGCTAAAATTGTTACTTGTCTTAAAATAAGAGGTGAGAAAGTCAATGCAAACATATTTACACTGCAATTTTCCCCTTCAGCAACCATCAATGGAGCTAGAATTTGACCGTGTGGTGATTTATACCACTTGCCTTCGTGTGGTGCGGACAACCTTTGAAAGATGTGAACTGGTTAGAAAGATCTTCCAAAACCATCGAGTAAAATTTGAAGAGAAAAACATAGCTCTGAATGGGGACTACGGAAAAGAGTTGGACGAACGGTGCCGACGGGTTTCCGAAGCTCCCTCCCTCCCTGTCGTGTTCATCGACGGCCATTATCTTGGGGTAAGGAAAGTCTTATTTTTATTAAACCCAACGGGTGTTGATAGAAGTCTGCAAGCCTATGACAAAGTCACTTGCAACATAACTACCAGGACACTTGCTATTTTTCAAGTTCAAACCAAACAGATTGAAGCACTTATTTCTGTCTCAAAACACATGTGCAACAGTGTTCATCCCAGCAGAAGCATGGTGGGATAAAATCAGCATGAAATTGCCTTTTAATAGGATACATTTTAAAAATGTTCAGTTGACTTGAGTTTTGCATTATGAAGCCTGACATGTGGGATAAAAACCTTTTTTTTTGTACAGGCAAGAAAGATGGATTATTTGTGAGATACATATTTGTGATTTCTCTTATATCCAATTATCAGGCACTCAATTTCCTACCTAATGAACCTAAGATTACAGTCCTGAAATGAAATCAATAAGAAATGGGACCTGGAGCCAGAATTGTATCTGCTTGTTTAAAATTATCCTTGGTTTTGGTAATGCCGCAGTGTGAGACACAAATTCACAATAAGCAGAGAGGACTCCCAGAGCAGCAAGAAAGGCTGCCCGCTCCATTTCTCCTTGAATAATACTATTAGCATAATAACTCCCATCGATCTATGGACATGCTCAATCGGTAAGAGACCCAGGAGAGGGCTCAAGCAAGTGCGCGTTGGAAAGACTGGGCGCAAAGAGCCCAGAGACACCAGCAGCTGAGGGGGGAGGGGCTGACGACAGGACCACTCAGAGGACAAAGAGGGACCGGCAAACCACAGACGGATACTCAAATCTAGGTTTTGTTTTACATCTGGTCTTAGCCTTCAGCTTTGAGGGGAGGTTAGAAAAATCCAGAGCAGAACATACTCATGTTTTGTTACAGGGTAGCTCGTAGTCTTACAGGAAGTCTGTGCTGCCTGGAGCCATAGTTATTAGAGGCAGCCTGTCATCTTGCGGAAAGATCAACGCAGGAAGCCGTGATTCAATAGCAATGACATTATGCAGTCTGCCTTTCAAACAGAGCAGCGTACAGACTGCCTTCCCAAGCAGGCAACTTGGATTTGAAGTATTGAGCCTCATTTATTATATTTCAACATAGAACCTTAGGTCTCAGAAAGCGTGACAATGGCAGTGATAATCATGATCTGATGATGATGATTCTAAGAATGAAGCTAACCTGTGCTGTCAGCTTTCCATGTGCCATGTCACCCAGCCCTCGGCGCAGCCTTGGAAATCAGCTCCCTGGCATAGCGGGGAAGAGGCAGGACACCGGGATCTGACAGCCTGTTTCAGCCTCCTGCTTCGAGGCCTCCATTTCACTCTGTGCCATTTGTAAATCACTCTGTGTCCCTATTTCCTCATTTATACAATGAGAATGATAACAGAACTATTCTCATAGGCTAACTGTGAAGATTTCCTGATATATATGCTTAGTTCCTGTGCAGGAACAAAGTTATGTTTTCGATAAATATGAACAGTTATTATTCTTGTTTTGCAAAAGAGAACATTAAGTCCTTTGTACCAAATCACACGCATAGCTGGTCAGCGGCAAGGCCAGACTCAAAGTTAGGTCTGTCCACCTCTCCTAACGCTGGCTCTGCGGTCCATGACCTCAAGGAAATGGATCTCTGGCTGCTGGTGCGTTCCTAGCACCTACAACAGGGTTTGGCACAGTCTCAAAAACATCTGCTGAATGGATGTGTTAATGGATGTGTGAACGGAAGTAGGAATGATGCTCTCTTGTCCCTTCAGAATCTTTCCTCCTCTCCTGAAGACATTCTTCCATAAGGAAAGGCTCTAATAGACTCACCCACACCAAGGAGAAACTCACTGATGAGGGTGGTAGGCACCTTTGCCTTTTCACCCAGGAAAATTCTTCTGACAACGTAAGAGACTTCTCATTGTGGAACTTGAATTTTTGTGGAACTGCACAATGAAACTTGGTGGGCGATTGTCTGCTTATACAGGTACAAGGTTGGCCATGCCTGTCACCCTGCTCTGGACTGTGCTTCTCTTGTTCCTGCTTCTGAGACAATCTGACGGCTCGGGCACTTTTTCTGCTTTTGTCTTTTTGTGCAAGGAATACAAGGAGAGTGCAACAGAGGAGGTGGGGTGCAGGCTTCTTTCACGAATGCTTTTGCTCTGTGATCATTGTACTGTCACACACAGTAGCCTAGAGGAGGAAGGATCACAGAGGTGCTACCTTGTTGCTTCTGAAATTTGACGCTATTGTTCCAAACTTGGAGAGAGGCCAGAGACAGAGATTCTCTCTCTCTCTCTCTCTCTCTCTCTCTCTCTCTCTCTTATAAAAGGAGAATTACTTCTAAATCTGTAATCCAAAATGGAAGTAAACACTCCAGAATAACTTACATAACGAATTTCCCTCCTACCAAGATCCTCCTTATTTGAATTCCAGGGCACAGTTGTAAATGGAAGACATTGCTGGCATTGCAGAGCCTTTTTACTGCCGTATCCTTGCATCTGAGATGGAAGGATGCCCTCTGCTGGGTTTTGGGACTTGGAGAAACATAATTTTTAGGGAGAAAAAAGAAGCCAATGTTGGTAATTTCCTTGTATCTGTGATTTTTAAGCAGTCACATGAAACCATTTGATTTAGTTTAAATTTGGATGAGTGAGAAAAATCAAGATGTGTGAATCATCTGCATAGTACAACTTTCTGTGAGGAGGGAGAGAAAGCCAGGGAGCCGAGAATGAGTTGGACAGAGACAGAGACAGAGGCCCCTGGAGGCAGACTGCAGGAGACACTGAGATAGGATGTGGAGAGAAGGAGAACACTTTGCAGCTCCCTTATGCTACTGCCGTTGTTGTCACCCAACCTAGGTGGGTGGTGCCAAAGGAATTCAGTTACCTTCATTGAAGAAAAGATGACAGGGATCAATGGGCAAGAACAGAAGAATTGACAAGGATGCTGAGCTATTTTTTCCCTGAGGACTCTCTTTTCCAGCCAAACTAAAACTAAAGATGAAAGCAAGGCAATTATGAAGGGAAAGAAATTCCTTTAGAAAACAAATTTACATTGCCCTGGGATGCTCCAGCACCTGGGGGTGGGGGATGGGGAGGGTTAGGGCATAGGAGCAAGTTCAGCTTGGAACTTACTTAGGGCAGTTGTGCTGTTGTTTTGGCACCAGAAACATATTCTTTATGCAGAAAGAGTGTGTTTCAATAGTTTAGACATAAATTATCTTAGAAATTGCGGTAACAAAATAGGTTAGAGATAGTGTTTTTGATTTCAGACAACTATGAAACTCTACAGTGGAAATCCATAAACCCCACACTGGAACTGAGCTATGAAACACATAGACAAACCAAAGTGGGTGCTTTGGTAACAGAGACGATAAAGGAGCTGTAGATCTAAGTAGGTATCTTAAACTAGTTGATATTGAGGTGTGACTGCTTGATAATTCTGTATCTAGAATTAAAATACTGTTGTTGTTTTTTTTCCCATTTAAAGATGAAAGAATTCTTATTAAGCAGAGCTAGTTTATAGACTAGAAATACAGACACTAAGCACATTTCTAGGGACCTCTTGCAAACCTCTGCACAAAGGATCACCAAGGAAGCCACGATCAGGAAGTGGCCAGCTCTAGAAACTTGATGTTTTTGCCGTGGTTCACTGTCACAATGGACTATTTGTTCTCTGTTCTTCTTTCTACATACATCTATTCCTGAGTAAATTCTGGAGAGAGTGTATCTGTGGTTACTAAAGTCACATATGAAAACTGAAGAGAATAGGAAATGTACTTCTTAGTTTTTTAGCTACTTCAGTAGAGAAAGACATTCTAGGAGATTGGATTGATTATTGAATGAGCCAAACCATTGTATCTGTCAGAAATTTTATTTTCATTTATTTTGTTTTGTTTCAATCAGCTTTATTGAGGTATAGTTTATATATAACAAACTACACCCTTTTCAAGTATACAATGTGATGAGTGAGTTTTGACAGATATGTAAACCCATGAATCTACCAACACATTCCAGACATAGAGCATTTCCATAACCCCTCAAATATTCCTCATGTCATTTGGCAGTCAATCCCTGGTAACTGTTGATATTTCTGTCAACATAGTTTTCTATTCTTCTAATGCCTTTGTCTGGTTTTGGTATCAGGGTAATGATGAGTTCATCAAGTAAGTTTGGAAGTACCCCACCCTCTGCAATTTTAATTTCTGGTGCTCTTTATACCTTAGTGTAGATCCTTATATCCATTTGACATTAGTTTCCTTTTATTTGATGGACTTATTACTATTGTAGTGTGAGTCTGCTGTAGATTAATTCTTTCAGCTTTTTTAAGCCTGCAAAGTTATATCACCTCTGTTTCTAAAAAGATATTTTTGCTGGATATAGAATTCTAGGTTGAAAAGGTGGTTTTTTCTTTATCACTTTAAAGAAGTTGCTCCTATCCTTCTTATTTGCATTGCTTCTGATGAAAAAAATCTTCTTATATTTGTTCATCTTCATGTAATGTGTCATTTCTTTTATCTGGCTGCTTTTAAGATTTTTCTCTAACACTAGATTTGAGAAACTTGATTATGATATGTTGGTGTAGTTTCTTTCTTTCTATTTTTTTTTTTTTTTTTTGCTTAGGATTCACTGAGAATCTTGGATCTATAATTTCTATCAAATTTGAAAATTTTCAGCTGTTATTTTTTCAAATATTATTTGTATCCCCACTTTCTTTCTCTTCTTTTTTTCAGAGGCTCCAATTACATGCATATTAGGCTGTGTGAAGTTGTTCCACAGGCTACTTCATTTTATGTTAGATAGTTTCTATTACTATACAGGGTGGGGCAAAAGTAAGTTTATGGTTGTATGTGAAACACAGGGTTTATTCTTGTATTATTATATATTAATTATTGTATTATTTTATTTATTTATTTATTTTTAAAATCCTCACCTGAAGACATTTTTGCATTTATCTTCAGATAGAGAGGGAGGGAGAGAGGGTGGAAGAGAGAGAGAGAAAGATTGATGTGAGGGAGACACATCGAGTGGTCGCC